GCAGACCTCTCCTGACCCGCCTGCTGCGCCCCTCGGCAGTGGACTTTGTCTATCTACCTGTTCTGCTTCCCACTGTCTCTGGTGCAACCTCTCACTGCCTTTGCACCTCTGGCCTGCATGCAAACCCCAGTTCTGTAAGCATACATAAGTAAATCTTTAAAAAAAAAAAAAAGACCGACAGAGATCAGCATGGGTCAGGTGGAGCAAGCTGGGGGGACGAGGAGAGAGGGCGGAGGGAAGCCAGCAAGACCTGGTGACCCATGGTAAGGATTTTGAGTTGGCTTTGCTTGAGGGTTGTGGCCAAGAGACACAATCAGACCGACATTCTGTGAGAGCCCTTCAGCTGCAAGGTTAGCAAGGGGCACGGCCTGGGGAAGTGGGGACGATTCTGGCAAGACCATCTGGGCAAGAGACAACGGTGGCCCACGCAGGGCGAGGCTGCTTCTTCCCCCAGACTGAAGAGTCCCACTCAGTCCCCTGGAGTCATGTCTTCCCTGCTGCCCCCCTCTGTCCCATCTCCTCCTCTGCCCCCTCGTGGGCTCTGAGAACCCCCTCCGCCCATGTCCCTGGACAGATTCGGACGCATCGGCCGCCTGGTGCTGCGTGCCTGCCTAGAGAAGGGCGTGAAGGTGGTGGCCGTGAACGACCCGTTCATCGACCCCGAGTACATGGTGAGCAGCGGGGAGGGGGCGGGAGGGGGGCTGGTGCGGAGGCTGGTCGAGAAAGCCCTATGGAAGGCTCCCATCTGCAAAGTGGGGACACCCTGGAGCTGCTCATCCCCCACCCCTGCCCCCACAAAACTGGGAGCCCTCTGTCTCCACAGGTGTACATGTTTAAGTATGACTCCACCCACGGCCGATACAAGGGGAAGGTGGAATGCAAGAACGGCCGGCTGATCGTGGATAACCAGGAGATCAGTGTCTTCCAGTGGTAAGCGTGGCAGCCGCGACTGGCCTGTGTCGTGTCAATGCTGAAGACGCAGAGTTGACTAGGGCTGGACTCGTGGGGTTCACAACTCCCCCGCCCGCCCCAAACGCTGCACATGTGTCTCTGGGTACTGGTTTGTAGAGAAGCTGTCAGAGAAGTTGTTCATCCCCAAACGGTCAAGAAACACTAACCTGGAAAGATGCCCCTTGGACTCCACGCACATTCTACTTAAAGCCCATTTCCATGTTTTCTCACACACCTGCCAAAGTGTCTAGAACTCAACTGTTGGCTCCCCCTCGATCCGCACACCTAAAACGTGCCCTTCCCAGGACAGGCGAGGCGGCCTCCATAGCCGTCTCGTCAAATCGTCGGGTGAACACAGTGGTGTAGGCAGACTACACGGAGGGAAACCTGTGTCAGACTGCCTCTGAGGAGGGAATTTCCTGGCAATAATTTTATCTTTCGCTTTGACTTTGGAGGAATGATGACGAACCACCTAGTAGGGAGGAACTACTCCTCCAGTAAAAAAAATCATCAATTATGGTGGTATGACGACACCACCACGACAAAAACAAACACATAATAATACCTTCTACAAAAAAAACAACAATAAAAAAACAAGAATACAAAAAAAAAAAAAACAGAAGAACAAACCACTACCCCACTAAAAAAATCCACCAGCGGCCCACCACCACAACAAAAAAACACCACCTGACTGCACCCCACCCCCAGCACCCACCTCCCGCCCCTGCAGTCTTTAGTCACCTCAGCCACCCGCTGTCTGCCTCTTGAGGTACTGAGCCAGCACCTCTCACCCCCAGGCAACGCTGACTCCTACTACACCGAGCTTTAAAAGACATTTTAGAACCTTTAAGTCAACCTTTAACGTTAACTAACCTTTAACTAACCTTTAACCTTTAACTAACCTTTAACGTTAGTTAGATGTTTAATGCATTTCCAGTACATTTTCAAAACAGCAAAAAAGCTTAAAATCCACCAAGTTGGAGAGAGCAAACCTACCGTATGTCTCAAAGTAGGTGCTCCCTGCTGCTGCAATCCCTGGCTGCCTTTGGGGTTTGCACACACTTGCACCAGCAGCCCGGGGCCACCAGCCCCCGGAAGGATCTGCTGCCTCCCTGGTCTCCGCCCAGCAGGTCTTCTCTGGGCCTCTGAGGGATGAGGGGGTCACAGCTGGGTGCAGTGGGGGGAGGGCGAGTGGAATCAGTGACAGTGGCAGAAGCTGCTTGACCCAAGTTTGAAATCTCGTGTCCTTTCCTGCCTGTCTCTGGAATTGTCATTTCTGCCACGTGCAGTTTTCTTCCTGTCTCTTCCCGGACCCCCCACAGCAGCTGCCACAAGCAGACACCGCCACCTCAGGCGACCTCTGCAAAAGTTTGCTCTCCCACACCACACTGTGGACATAAGTCAGGTTGCTTGTGCGTGTGTTTACATTACCTGGCTCCACCCCTCTCCAGCTGGGTCAGTTTGGGTAATGGACTGACCTGCCCGGCCTCAGTTTCCTCAGAATCTGATGGGGATGATACAGACCACAGCAGTAGAAGGGAGCACAGCTAGAGTTAACAGGCACATGGGGAGCACCGGGAAGGGCACTTTCCCACAAGGCCACAGCGTTCTTGCAGGGAAGGCTGTCCGTTTGTCACTGGGTGGCTTTGGCACCGGCAGGCGCAGGCCCCAGCTCTTAACTAGACTCAGTAATTCCTTAAAGAATGAATGGCTGGCTGGCTGGCTGGCTGAATGAATGAATGAATGAATGGAATTCTCAAAACAGCTCTCTGGGCAGAAGGGTAGCGGTGGGTGACAGCCGAGGGCAAGAGGCTGGGGTATCCTGTGATGCTGACACTTTTCCCTACACCAACTCAACAATGGCTGCAGAGGAATTTATTGAAGGGCCCCCCGAAACTTGGAAGGCAGCGAGTGGAAGGGGGTGGGCATCAGAGAGGGGCTAGTCAGGTCAGATGATGAGAAGTGTGATCTGCCAGACCAGGGAGAGAAAAAAACCACGTGGTGGCCCAGGGGATAGCGGGAAGCCCCTCATTCATTCATTCATTCATTCATTCATTCATTCATTCATTCATATGTTCGTTCATTCCTTCGCGCATGCTGGCAGCGTGGCTAGAGTGCAGACCCCAGGCCAGGCCAAAACAGATCCACCCACCTGTGCCCTGACCATGGCGTCTCTGAAAAATGCCAGTAATTACCCAGTTCGGGAGAGCTAGATGAATCCAATACAAAGCACGCAGGACACAGCACACAGTGGTGCTCAGACACGTGTGTAGAATGACGCAAAGACCCACCGCTGACTAAACCTCTCTGGGGGAGCAGGTTCATGGAAAAGGAAACAGACCTGGCCCCACTGCCATGGGGTGGCCTAGAAGAGACACAATGAGTGCTCACAGACACAAATACTGCACTGCGAGGAAACAGGAGAAAACAGTTCATAAAATAGCTTTTATTGTTTCTGTGTAAAGGCAAGGATAAAACAGCAATGTTTGACATTCAATGTTTTGCACACAAGTGTCTGATAAAATACCCAACAAAGATGTACATTTAAAAAACAGGGAACAGGGCCCTCCCTGGTGGTGCAAGGGGTCAAAATGCAGCACATTGCAGTCATACAGCATGAGTTCGATCCCCCAGCAGGGAGGTGACCCACAGCAGACCTCTCCTGACCTGTCCACTGCTCCCCTCAGCAGTGTTCCCCTCAATCTGTCTGTTCTGCTCCTCACTCGGTCTCTGGTGAACCCTCTCACCCCCGCACCTCTGGCCTGTACCCCAGTTCTTGTATGCATTTATTTTAAATTTAAATAAATTTATTTTAAATAAAAATGTTTAAAAGTCAGGAAACAAATCTCTTATAGATGTAAACCACTGACCACAACAGCCCCAAGGGGGTCTCAGAAGCCAGTCCTGGCTGCAGGAAACCTTTGGGGGTGCTTGTGTCTTCAGGGACAGCCCTGGGCCGAGCAGGCCCCCCATCACGGGCAGGAGAGCCGTGGTGAAGGGCCACTGTGGGGGCTGGGAGCAGTGGCCTTGCCTGCAGGAAAGGGGGTGACATCAGGATGGCCCCCAGGGGTTGGCTGGGAGGTGGGAGCTGTGTCCAGGTGTAGTGTAGACACAAAAGGGACAGCCTGAAGCAAGGGCCTCAGGGCAGAGCCCATGTGGACAGTGAGTGCAGATCAAGGGCACAGTGGCCGCAGGGCCAGGGGCAGGTGTCCGGTCAGCCTTGCGACTGACCAAGGCTGTGGACTATGGTGGGGAGGCCATGCAGGGGAGACACTCACACTGCCCACCTCCACAGCGACCAGCCCAAAGACATCCCCTGGAAGTCCGTCGGGAGCCCCTATGTGGTGGAGTCCACTGGCGTGTTCCTGACCTTAGACAAAGCTTCGGTAAGTGGGAGGGGGTGCCCAGGACCAGCTGGGGGTGTGACGCTAGGGGCACCTCGTGACACCTGGGCTCCTTCCCTAGAAACACCTGGAGGCAGGCGCCCAACGTGTGGTCATCAGCGCACCTTCACCCGATGCACCCACGTTTGTCATGGGGGTGAACGAGAAGGAATATAACCCTGGCTCCATGAGAATTGTCAGGTAACGGGCAGCCCCATTCTGGGGGTGTGGGTGGGCTATGGAGGACACACCAGCGGGTGATGGGAGGGATCCTCACCCCCACTCCCGGCTGACCCCTGCTGCCGCTTCCACACCCATCTGCTGCTCCTCGGAGTCTCTAGAGCCATTACATTAATGTTACTTAACACTGTTAGAAATGCGTGATTTGGGGGACACTGCCTCCAAGTGCAGCACCTCTGGTGCCACCGCGCCTCTGTGGCACTCCCAGGGACCCCCTTCACCCCCATCCTGACTTTACACATAACCAAGCCTGCATGTACAGCTTGGAAGAGGGGAGTGTGGAGGGTTCCCTGGGGCCCCCTCACAATGCCCCTGCACACCGGGCCCTTTCAGCAACGCATCCTGTACCACCAACTGCCTGGCCCCCCTCGCCAAGATCATCCATGAGCAATTTGGGATTGTGGAAGGGCTGATGGTGAGTTGCCAAGAGGGGTGGAACCGGGGGGAGGCAGGGAGAATGAACCTCTTGATCCCAGGGCTTCTTAGCGTGTGGGGTAATGGAGCGACTGCTTTCGGGAGAAAGAGGCCCACCAGGAAGTCTTGGAAAACCCGCGCGCTGGCTGTGGTGTGGTCCCGCCAGCCTCCACATCCGGGTCACCACCTGGGTGCGGGGAAGAGGCCTGGGGGCTTAGGCACAGGAAGGCCTCACCTCGCCCTCTCCTTCCCCAAGACCACAGTCCACTCCTACACCGCCACCCAGAAGACAGTGGATGGGCCGTCCAAGAAGGCCTGGCGAGACGGGCGTGGCGCCCACCAGAACATCATCCCGGCCTCCACAGGGGCTGCCAAGGCCGTGGGAAAAGTCATCCCCAAACTCCAAGGGTATGAGGGCAGGAAGCTGCCACCAGGGTAGGGAGTACGCCCCGGGGAATGGACTGGTCCCCAAACACTGAGGTGGCTATCGAGGGGAAAGCAGTAACAAGGAGAGAGGGATGGAGGAGTCCCTAGATTCTGACTCCTGCCCTCTCATTCAATTCTCCAGGAAGCTGACAGGAATGGCCTTCCGGGTGCCGACCCCAGACGTGTCTGTCGTGGACCTGACCTGCCGCCTGGCTCAACCAACCCCATTCTCAACCATCAAGGAGGCCATAAAGGCAGCAGCCAAGGGGCCCCTGGCTGGCATCCTGGCCTACACAGAGGATGAGGTAGGGACAAAGGAGAGGGGCCCCTTCGGGGACAGCATGGTTTCTACTTGTCCCGGAACTGCTGGCAATGTCCCAAGACAGGAACTTCAGGGCTGGGCAGGTCAGCTTTCCTGCCTCAAGGACTTTGCACTTACAGCGCCTTTGGTCTGAAAGCTTTTCCCCAAATGGCCAAAGCGTCCCACTTCCTCCAAGTCTCTACTTCAACCTCCTCAGCAAGATGCTCTTTTTGTAACCTACATTTCAGTCACTGTTGGCCCTGCCAGGGTGTGCTCTTCATGAAAGCAGACATTTAGGGAATTATCTTTCTACTCGCCTAGCTCCAGGGCCTGGCACACAGCAGGTGCTTAATATGTGTGTAGTGAACAAGAGAATGGCTCCCACTTTTTGATGCTTGCTCCAGGCAGGCCATGGCCAGGTGTCTCCCCTGTAGGAGAGGATGTCACACTCCCTTCGCTCCCAGGAGTGCATCCCTGAGCCTCCACCAATGCTGCCTCTCCCTGGTGCTGCCTCCCAGCTCTAGCTCCTGCAGGTCCAGGCTCATGCAGCTGCCAGATCTTTTTACAAGGAAATCTCCCCACCCTCCCACCCCCAGCCCCGAGTTTAAAACCTTCCCCTGTCCTTCCACCACCCTGGAGTCGTGCCCAAGGACCTCCGAGCTGCTGCATCTTCCACCTCAGACTTTGTGCTGAGGGGTTGAGTTGGCCAGAGCCTCGTCCCTGAGACGGCCTCTGCGCAGCCCAGTCCAAGTGCCCACCTTATTCCCGGAGTGATGGTTATGTGTGGCCTCAGGTGCAGGCAGTCCGCGCCAGCAAAGCCCCATCCGCCTTCTTCACGCCCTGCCTCTGCAGGGGGCAAAGCAGCAGGCACCGGGTATGGCAGGTGAATGGCGGCCAGAGGGCAGAAGGGCCCGAGCCCGGGCTCCTGGAGGCCCCTGCTCTGCCGCCCATACTCCATCTTGGCAATTCTGTCGCCCAGGTGGTGTCCACGGACTTTGTCGGCGAGCGCCACTCGTCTATCTTCGACGCTAAGGCCAGCATTGCGCTCAATGACGGCTTCGTGAAGCTCATTTCCTGGTACGGGGCCAGGAGCCCCAGAATGTGGAGGGAGGCCTGGGGTGATCGGGAAGGGCCCCCGACCCCCAAGCCCTCTCCTTCCTTCCCAGGTACGACAACGAGTACGCCTACAGTCACCGGGTGGTCGATCTCCTCCTCTACATGTTCGACCGAGACCAGTGAGGCAGGAGGGCCCCAGCCGCCGCCACCTCCCGGCGCTCTCGGGCCCAACCTGCACCTCCCGCTCCCGCACTCGGCTCCTCGCGGGGCAGGAAGGCGCGCGGGGTGAAGGGCCTGCGCCGCTGGCCAATAGTGAAATAAAATAAATAAATAAAAGACAGCGGGGCCCCGTCTTTCCGCGCCGCTCGGGCACGCGAGTCCGTCTCCCCCGGCGCGCTCCGCTCC